CTACTACTACTACCACTAACGACTGACGACTGACGACTAACGACTAACGACTAACTACTACTACTACTACTACTACTACTACTACTACTACTACTACTACTACTACTACTACTACTACTACTACTACTACTAGTCCTCCTGCTACTACTACTGCTACTACTACTACTACTACTACTACTACTACTGCGACTACTACTACTACTACTACTACTACTACTACTACTCCTACTCATACTCCTACTCCCACTCCCACTCCTACTCCTACTCCTACTCCTACTCCTACTCCTACTCCTACTCCTACTGCTTCTGCTGCTGCTGCTGCTGCTGCTGCTGCTGCTGCTTCTGCTAAGTCGTTTTCTACTTCTACTACTGCTGCTACTTGCCAAGGAGAAGATCAACGAAACAGAGGGCCGTGCAGTTCTGCACGTCGCCCTCCGGGCACCGAAGGAGGACGAAGCAGATGCATTCTTGTCAACGGGGGTTGAGGGTTCATTTTCACAGAGGCCCTAGATGAATAAACCCGTTCTTGTAAGACCCTAAACATCCCGAATATAAATTAGGGAGTGGGTACATGCCCTTATCATAGGCCTTTGGGATAGGTCACATTTCCCCTTAAAAGGATATTTTTTGCGAGCAATTGTCCAGAGGCTTTAAAGGGATAACCTGCAAAGCCAGGAGTATTGTACAAGCCTGTCTAAGCGCAGGAGACCATCAACGTGGATGGCAAGAACGTCGTCCCGGAGGTGCACTCCGTGTTGGACGCGATCAAGGCCCTGTCAATTCTGGTCTTGAGGTCGGGTTGCGGGATTTATAGGGTCTCTGAGAAGGGGTTTTCGCTTGGTTGTCTAGATCTTGATCCGGAGTCTGTAGATGTTCTTAGCGTTTCCTAGGAGAGAGAGGTGGTGGGTCGAAGATACATCGGGTGCGAGCCCCAAACGGCGTCTTAGGTCATGGATGGTACAACTCATCATAATGAATAGTAAGAACAGTCCAAAGACAGCTGAGAGCAACTGCCTGAATTGAGACTCCATGAGGTGCTGTACGAATGCTCGGGTGAATGGGCTCAGCTCAGCACACATAGGACCTAGCACCTGCGTTTGTGAAAATGCCGCAAGGATTTCCGAACATTTGCAACTCCAAGCAGCTCGTTGAACGATAAGCATGTCATAAAGCACTTTGCAATACTCGTCCATTTCATATTAGCACTCTATATATATATATACACATACATATACATATATATATATATATATACACAGCTCCACTCCTGATGCTTGTTTTGAAGTGATCCGGCGCAAGGCGTTCTCAGACAAAGTCCGATCTGGAAGCTTCGTCGGCCACACCGGCAAGAAGCTGACGGACGTGCTCTGTATTGGTGACCCGGAGCCGAATCAAAGGGGTTTAGTTCTTACCTATAGTCTCCATTGTAGTTCCTTTTTTTGGTTAAACCAAATATATACTAACGAGTTGATAAGGTATCCCCAAAAAGGAACTAATTACAATGGACACTATAGGTAGTTCTTAGGGTGTGGGCCTGGCCCACTGGTGGGATTTAGGCATGTGCAGTGTGCTTAAGTGTCCCCCGTCTCTCGCTTCGAGTCAGCCTTGGATGCATGAGTGGTCCCTGCAGTGCTGTTTGATGCAGAAGGCGTATGCACAACGCAAAGATAGGGCTGCCAGGGGAAGGTGTCGTCCACGGTTCGAGCACCACAGCTCACCTTAGACCGCAATGCCCTCGGCAATCGCGCGTGCGCTGGGCTCAGGCATTGGTGGGTCCTACCTTGGCGTCGAGTTCGTCTACGAAGCGCTGAGCATCCTGTCGCAGAAGCCGTGAGCCGCCCCCTACATTCCTACATGACCTAGAACCCCTCAAAAATAGGCCATTGCGAGGAATTATGTACTAGTGGTTAAAGCCCATGCAGAGTCACTAGGGGAACCTGCGCGCTGGATGTTGGGGACTTGCCCTGTCACTGATCACTAAGCCCGTCAATCTAGCTGTGCTAATCAGGCTTAAACCTCAACGTCGTACCGTGGGTTTGTCTGCATGAGTATTAAGAGTATTGATCCGAAACCCTAAACCCATCTATACCCCTAAACTTTTGAACATAGTGGGCCGAGTTTCAAGTCCTAAGGGTCCATGTACCCAAACCTTATATACATTGGCCCCAAAGTGCCTATATAGGGACTACTCTAAGGCCAAAGTATATACTATTTGGGTACATGGACCCTTACAGTAGGGAACTCTAAGAGTCGCAAGAAAGCGGCTCCGGAGCTCCGAAGGGCTTTGGACACCGTAGCCGGGACCTGCGAAGCCGCGGAAGCGCTGGGCCATCAATCCCAAGCCCTACCCATAGGCCCCATAGTAGTTCCTTTTTGGGATTACCGAATAGAATTCTAAATATGAACCCCAAAAAGGAACTACTATGGGGCCTGTGGGTAAGAAGCAGACCCCAAAAGAGACTCGGCACATCTTGACATCAGTAAAAGTCATCAACAGCCGGGCGTCAGCTCCCAAACGCCGTCCCCTCCCAAAAGCCGGAAGCTTCGAAGCGCAGCACAGGGGCCAGAAAGCACAAAGCCCTAACCCTCAAGGCGAAGCCAAGCTCTCTGAAGCTGCTATTCTTAGAGGTACCACTTCCTACGATCTTGGACCATAGACCCTAGGACCTAATGCAATGCAGGTACCAAAATCTTGAGCATCACTCGCTTCCGAAACTGTAGGGTTCGCAAGACATTGCACCTCAAAACCTTCGAGACCCCCCAAACCCGAGTAGGCCCATGTAGGCCCTAGTATTTGGTCACCATACATAGGACTCATATAAGATGCAACCCCTAAGCCCTGAACCCTATTCCTAGACTCGAAGTGTTTTGGTCAGTAGGACACCGGCCTTGGGTTTCATAGGGTTCCTTTAAAGGCTCTATAAGAGGTACTATAAGGGCTACCATAAGGGTTTAGGGTGTAGGCCCCAAAAAGCTCAGGGACCGACTCAACTGCCTCGGCAGCAGCGAAGGGCCGATCTTTGCGGTGTCCTAGGTTGCAGAGGAGGAATATGAATAGGGTTCCTTTTAGAGTCTATATACGGGTTCTGTACTATGGATCATTTGGGGGGCATAAAGGGCTCGATGATGAGGTTTTAGGGATCTTATCGGATATTGGGGGGTTGTAAGGGTGTACGAAAAGTATACTAGAGTTTGGGGTTCCAATCATTATACGGTTATGAGGACCCCATGTATAACGCTGTGACGTCTAGACGAGTCTAGACCTCGATGGGTTTGGATCTCAGGGCCTACGGGGCTACACTGTGATTCTGGCTATGGGCTCAGGCTGTGTAGGGTTTAGGGTTTAGGGTTTAGGGTTTAGGGTTTAGGGTTTAGGGCTGGGCTTTAGGGCTTGAGGCTCGTAGGCTCTTGAGCTTGTTCCTTTGGGTTCGGAAGTCTGTCATCTAGACTTTCGGGCATCTTACGGGATTAAGGTTGTGGCTTTGGTCTTCATGATTTGGGTGTGTTAGGGCTGTTGGCTTTGCGGGGACTCTGGCGGCTTTCGCTTAGGTCTTAAGCTCGGCTGCGGATTGCGAGTCTGGGGTCTCTGGGTCCTCAGTAGACCCCAAACTTCCTCATCCCTAGATGCTACCTATAGTCTCCATTATTGTTCCTTTTTTTGGTTTAACCAAATATATATTAACGAGTTTATAAGGTATCCCCAAAAGGAACTACAATGGAGACTATAGCTACCAAGCCCGCAAGCTCCAGGCAGAAATCTCACATGGAATATGGAATGACACCCGCTTTGTCCAAGGTTTCTGGCAAACGTGGATCCCATCGACGTGAAGCGGGCTTTGTGCCTTGAACCCACAAGATTGATGTTACTTAGGGTTTATACGGTTTAGGGTTTAGGATCACAGAGGGCTTCTAGGGTGCATGTTTCAGTCGCCATAGCAAATATCAATACAACTACCAAAGCCAATTAGGGGAGTACAAGAGCCCAGCCACTGCTTGAAAATTCTACTGTGCTTGGGCCTGCAGGAGTGGGGATTGCGGTTCTGGGTGGCCCTAAACTCTTGACCCCAAACCCTCAGCCCTAAACCTAAGAGCTTAGGGCTGAGGGTTTGGGGGGTTGAGAGTTTGGGGTTTATAGTGCAGTACATTTCGGTTTCTGGTGTTTGGGTCTTGGGGTTAGTGCCGGGGTCCAAGGTTTATCATAAGTACGGTGTTGGTCATATATAGAGTTTCGAGCTGAGATACAAGGTTTCGATTCGTAGGTCATAGGATTCCGCCTTTTCTTCGGTGATGTAGAGGCCATGGTGTCTGAGCTTCTCAACGGTTGTTTCCCGCACCCTGAGAATAAGATTCCATATCTTCAGCCGTAGACAATCTCGACGGTCGCGGCAGCAGCGGCTTGCTGTCCAGGGCTGGCAGGGTTTATATCGATTGACAGCCAATACCAGAACAGGAGAGGAACCATTACGTTAGCCATTGTATATGCGGCACGTATCATGGCCATACCCGTCCTATCATTATGATCAACCACAACAACTCTCTTTCGTCATCATCACCACGCTCCTCACGATAATCCGCGCCGTCACCACCATCGGCTGCATGTTCATCATCAACATCGCCATCGCTGTAAGAACTTGAGTTCCTGGTTCAATGTGCCGTTGTCTGTGATGTCGTTTCGTGAGCAGCCCCTTCGTTGCTTTAAGGCCCGGAAAATGCAGCTAAACAGCGAAGCTCTGAATCAAAGTTTCCAAAGAGCTGGCCCAATGAACAAGGTAGGGAAGACACATGAAGATATGGACCATAGATGCAATCGTTTATGGTATTTCTTGTATTGCAGGCTTTTTCCGTGCTGATGCTTCAGAAATTCCCAAGGACGGGCCTCAATGCCGAAACCACACTCGTCGTTGTCATCTCCAAGACTTTCACCACGGTGCTCGGATGGAAGATTGGAGATACGTCATTGTGAACTCGTGTTATAAGTGTGTAGTCAGCGCATTCCACCTGCTTGTCAGGCGGTTTTCTTGAAACGTGGGCGGATGTCCGGTACGCATTTGGGCTCATGTCTACGAGTCTACATGACCTTTCATGGTGTTCAGGCACGGTAGCAGATCAACATCAGGCCCCGCACGGCAGGCGTCCGCAACATCCGCATCAACCGAACTTGGTTGTGGCCCTTGTCAACCAACAGCCGTCATCAGGCTCAGGATCCCTATCGTATGGATCGTCATCATCGCCATCAGCATTGACCGAAGCAGCGACATTAGCATCACGGCCATCATCAGTTTCTTGGCATCTTCGCCAGCATCATCATCATCATCATCATCACCGTCGTCACCATCATCATCATCATCACCTGTTGGCATTCGGATTTGTACAGGAGTTTGTCTCGGACTCAGACACTCGCAGGATTTGGTGCGTAGGGTGCCCTGAAGGCAGAGACTATGCTGAACGCCCGGACGGTCAAGGACTGGCTGGTGAAGGACCAATGTAGGGGCGGGAAGGGTCCTGCATTGCCTCAAGGTTCTAGAGCGATGCTAAGCCTCAGTCTGGACCGTTGCCCATCAGCAGTACCGGGAGGAGGAGCAGAAGTCGCAGCTTTGGGATAGTGTATTTCTACATGACATGGAAGGAGCTTGGTACAGAGGCGGCCATCGCCAAACATGCTCCTTGGAGGAAAGGATTCCCTGTCCCCAAAGGCTTTGGGCAGTCGGAGTGTTCCAGAAGCCTCGAGTCTAGGTTGCCAGGGGGAAAAGCTCCCTTAAGGGGAATTTAGGGTTTAAGGTTTAGGGTTTAGGGTTGAATGGAGGCTGTGGCTTTGTGGTGTAGCGCTCTCCTGATACGTTGGGTACCAGCAAAACTATGACAGAAAGGGACCGGCAAGCTCTTCTCTGGAGAATGATCAGCGCAGGTAATCCGGATTTCAAAATACCCTGCCCCGTATATGTTTGTAGCTGAAAACATAAGAATCATCAGAGAGATATCCCCAAGGTCATCGCATGCTCCACGGCACTGGCCCGGGACCTCAGAAAAGGGGTTTA